GTCCTTGGCACACGAGGTGCCAGTGCCTTCCTTTCAGAGAAGGTGGGAGCTTTAGCCTCTGTTTCTCTAACTGCGACCCTCTCCCCCGTCAAGTGGCCTTTGTGATCTTTCCGAGCTGTTCCGGCCACCTCCCCAGTGGAGGAATGGCTTTCTGACGAAGCCCTGTAGATCGAAGCTTCCGACAGCGTCACGCTGCCCGCTGCGGTCCCTCCCCTCAGTGTGACTGGTACTTGTTAAATGAATTGCTCTTTGGGGTTCCGACCCGTTGATGCCTCAGAGCCTCTGCCTGGCCGCCGGCCCTTTCCAGGAGCACGCCTAACCCCCCTCCCTCCCGCCCCCAGAACGCAGGGTTCAGCAGTTGGCTGACTCCCGTTTTGGGGCCTGTCCCACCCTTGCCCACTCTGACTGCACATCAGCACTGCGTAAGGAAAGCGGGTGGTATCTCATCGTTCACACAAACAGAGCACGCGCCCCAAGTGTTTCCAACCCCAGTGTCAGTAAAACCCCAGCAGCCCTGGAACCCTGTGGTAGAAATACAAAGTGGCGCCCGTACTGCGAGCAGAAGGTAGGCCCGCGCGCTGGCCAGTGGGGAGTGGGCGTATCGGAAAGCCACTGTCCTTTACGCTGCCTTCTGCCACTTACCCTGTGGTCTCTCAGATCCTCTAGTTAGTTTTCCGTTCAGTACGCCGTAATACCAGATCCCCTTTAAAGTGAGCGCAGGCCCTGATGGGAACAGCAGCCCCTCCCAGCCCTCATCCCCACCCTATTTCTGCCTTGAGGCATTCTGGTCTGTGCATCCTCTTAACTCTGGCCTCTGGCAACTGTATACCCGACATGGTGGATGCAGCCACAGCGTGTGAGGAGTGTGAGGATCGTGCCCTTTCCTGTAGATAAGAGGGCAGGTGAAAGCAACTTCCGTGACTCTCTGGTGGATACACTGGAGATTGATCGGGATTAAAAAGTGTGCCGGGTGCTTCGTTCTCCAGGGCCCCAGGGTCGGCCACGTCCTCCTACTCCAGGCCTTGGTTCCCAGAAGGAGGCTTCTGTCTGTGATTCGTAGCCCGAATCACTCTGTGCACACCTTAGCCATCCACTCTGTGCACGCCTGCCCCGGTCTTGAGAACCAAGGTAACGGTCAGCAGTGAAGCACACAACTTGTTTCAGTCCCAGCTCTGGGATGATAGTGTGGTGCTCATCTCAGATGTGCCCGGTCCCCTCCCTGTGTTTGCATTCTCTCCGATCCCGTCCGCTGCCCTCTCCGTTCACAACCACAATGACCACAAAGTCCTTGGATTTAGAGACTGATCCAACATGCAAAGTCATACCCATCCAGCCACCCATGATGGAATGGGCTTTATCCCTTGAGCAAGGAGTGTGAACTCTGTTAAAGGAGACATGACAAAACCTTAGAGGTGTGACTGCAGCTCAGAACAAAAGCGATTAGGACCGTATTCTCCAGTGAACGCCATCCCCTTCCCCTCCCCCATGATCTCAGGCAGTCTTAGAAAAGCACACAGAACATGAAAAGACAGACTAAACGCTCAGCCTTAAAATATTCCCTCAGAAACAGAAGTGTGTTCTAAGCATTGAACTTAATAAGGTTATAATTTTTTTTTAATGTTTATTTATTTTGAGAGAGCGTGACCGGGGGAGGGACAGAGAGGGAGCGGGAGACTCCTAGGCAGGCTCTGCGCTGGTAGAGCACAGCCCGATGCTGGGCTCCAACCCACGCACTGTGAGATCATGACCTGAGCCGAAATCAAGACTCAGACGCTTAACCAACAGAGCCACCCAGGTGCCCTAAGATCATAAACTTAAGTGACAATTCAACGTGATATGAGACAATAAAATGAGATGAAACGGGAAATATGGAGCTAAGGGAACAAGATGAGAACGAAACAATCTTCGTCCAAAACAAATAAAGACATTTGAAACAGTAAGGAATTTAATAGCCTGAAAATTGAGTGACTGACATAGGGAAAAGCGTTAGATAGTTCTAGAGAAAGCGAAAGGCAAGAAAACCCCAAAAAGGTGGAAGCAATTTAAATCCTTGTAAAGATGGTGCAGCATAAAGATAATTAGTGTCCATAAAGGAGCCCATCCCAAAGAAAACATTGGCCAGAAGATAGATCTACTTGAAGATGCAAAAAAAAAAAAGTTTTCTGGAAGAAACAAAACGCGTCTCCTCATGGAGAAGGACACTGTGTTCTAGGGGGAAAGACTTAAAGTTTGTGTAGTAACAAACTCTGAGCTGACTGGCAGTTAACAGATTTCAGAAGTAAAAGAATTTTGCAGATAGACAAACAGAAAAAAAGCAAGTCATGGCTAGGAGGGGAGGCCATCAGCCAGGCTGGCTCCAGGTTCCTGCCACAAAGCAAAAGAGATTGCAACATTTTGAAAGAAAGAATTGATGCATTAGCACCAAGTAAGTGTTAAAATTCAGAGAGACCAAGAGTCAACAACTATGCAAATAGAATGTAAATGTTAGACACTGACAAAAGGGAGCTGAATCCTCTAAAATTGAAGCCTGCAGTTCAGAATATCTATTTAAAATACGGTTGTCCAAATTCTTAACTTCAGAAGAATTTTTAGGAAAGTGGTGTCTCCATAAAGAAATACAGATTTAAGGGCGGTTTTTCCTTTATTTTCACTCAGCTTCATTTTAAGTACAAAGTTAAATTTTACCCTTTCTGTTTAAAACATACATAGGATGGCTTATAGAATCCCTTTAAAACTTAATGTGGTATTTCCGGGTGTTTCTGCTCGTGGGTTGAATTTTTGCTTTTTTTTTTTTTTTGAAGTGTAAGACATTTAATTTTTTTTTTTTTTTTTTTTACAAATAACTGTCTAAACATAAAAGCTTATTCCAAAAACCACGTAAAACATAACAAAATAAGCCTATCTACCCAACTAAGCCACTGGTTCCATAGGTTCTGGAAGGGGCTTGGCATGGGTGGGTGTGTGTGTGTGTGTGTGTGTGTGTGTGTGTATACACATACATACAGTCTTCTTTAAAGTTTATTTTTGAAAGAGAGGGAGAGCAGAGGAGGGGTAGAGAGAGAGAATCCCAAGCAGGGATTCTGACATGGGGATCCACCCAGAACCATGAGATCATGACCTGAGCTGAAATGGAATCAGAGGCTTAACCGACTAAGCCACCCAGGCGCCCCGCTCTGTGTCTTTATATGTATTTTGACAGCCTGGTGGCTCTGACCTTTCCTACAACCCACTCCAAGCCTTTTGGAAGTGACTGGGGAAACTACTCATCCTAGATGATGATTCGTGTTTTTCATGGTGTCCATTAGCCCAGTAGGCACAACATATGACATTCAGTTTATTGCGTTTATCTTGAAAAGGGAAAAACAGTGGGAAGCATTCTGTAAATGAGTAGATCGAAACATAAAAAAGATTTGCTCAACATCATTTTGTATCAACAAACCTGATACTTGTTTTTCTGTTTTTCTTAGCTCAAGCATTTTAGTCACGAGGGACCCTCCCCTTTTTTAAATTTTTGCTCTTCTGATTATGGTGGATAAACGTATCATTAGAGTGTTAGTCCTGTGTTTTTTTCATTAACTTAATCTATCACAGCACATAAACCGATCATCACAAGAGGACTAGGGTATTTTTTTTTATTTTATGTAAATTTTTTATCTCCAGTGGTTATTATGGCATAGGCATTTGGTCTGATACGAATTTCAAATACGTCCGTTGCAACAGCTATTTGAAAATAACCAGGAATTTGAGTATTTGACTTTTCTGCAAATAAATAAGAGGAGCTTGAATGAGTTTTTGTCTCTGTGCCCAAGAATCCAACAAATGGAAACAAATGAAATTATGGCAGGTATTTACTGCTCACAGACATCGTAGTTGACAGAGGTTGTGGGGGGCTGAGGCCAGTTAAACACGGATTTCCTTCCAACACAGCCAGAAATGAAGGTAGCTTCCTGTCTTGTCTCCCACAGTTAGCTCTACCTACCTGTCCACCTGCCTTCCATCTACCTGTCACTAATGACAAAGAAACCTAGCCATTGGATGTTTTGTTCCGTTAAAATGGGGATTTTTTTTTTTTTAAACTAAGGGCCACTACAACATTATGACTTTTTAAATTGTGTTGGTGGAGAACCACAAATAAGGGAGATGTTTTTACTTTCATAGTTTTTGTTCACTGATACAATTACTGCAATAGTAGTTCTTTATGATTCTACCAACCTTAATATCTCATAAGCACCTGAGATATGTTTGCTCCAAAAATTATTGTATACTAGCCTTTTTTTTTTCCTCACAAAAATGGCACTATTGCCTATTTTGGAATCCTCTTACTTTAAAACTTGCTGAGAAGTTTTCTCGAGAAGGTACTAAATGTGGGGCGCCTGGGTGGCTCAGTCTGTTGAGCCATCCAACTCTTGATTTCAGCTCAGATCATGATCCCAGCGTTGTAGAATCGAGCCCTGCATTGGGCTCCGTGCTAAGCGTGGAGCCTGCTTGGGATTCTTTCCCTCTCCCTCCTCCCTCCCTTGCTCACTCTGCCTCTCCGTCTAATAAAAAATAAATAAAAATAAAAGATACTAAATTGCGACAAGACCGTCAAATACCCCGCATTAAAAGGTTGAGTTTTCTTCCTTGTGCAGCAGGTATCTCAGACTGTTGGATAGACTGAGTCCTCAGCTGTCACTGTGAAGAGGGAGAATAATGTAGTTTTGAAAGGTCAGGTTCTAGGACGCTGGTGAGCTGGTGGTCCAGGGAGGAACAAAGCATTCTGGAAATGGACACGAAGGTCTCTGCACGATCGTTCCAATAGCTTTTGATTGCCACCATTCTTACAAATGCCAAGATATCAAAATACAGTTTTATCCACAGTGGGCTTTCCTTAAACTACCTTCTTTAGTTGTCATAACGCCCTCGTGATTGTAATCCTCATTTAAAAAAAACATATACGCGTGGTTGGCATGTCTACCATCTTACCAATTGACTTTTTAACTTTTTTTTTTTTTTAACAGAAATCTTAGAGGCTGGTATTAAAGCAACTTCAGAATCACTTAAAGGTGTGAAACGAAAAAAGATTGTAGCTGAGAACCACCTGAAAAAAATACCAAAATCCCCCCTGAGGAGTCCCCTTCAGGCAAAACATAAACAAAATACAGACGAGCCTGCTTTTGCTGTTCTTCAGAGCGCGCCGGAGTCTCACAAGAAGCAGAATCCTAGCCCCGTGAAAAATGGGAAGCAGTTTGCCAAACACAATGGAGAAACACCTGGGGTAGTCGCTGAGGCCTCCAAATCTGAAGATTCTGTGTCCCCAAAGAAGCCCGTGTTTCTGCAGCACCCATCTGAACTGCGCCGATGGGGATCGGCAGGCTCTGACCCCAGCAGGTCGGGCTTCCCGGATGCAAAATGTGACTCTCGATCTTTGTCGAGTAAAACCAGGACTGACCGCAGTGAATGTATCTCCTCCACTCGTAGTCCCGCTTCCTCTTACACAAACACCGCATTTGATGTCTTACTGAAGGCAATGGAGCCAGAGCTGAGCACCTTGTCGCAAAAGGGCTCATCTTGTGCAGTTAAGGTAGAAAAACTGAGACCAAATAAAACTGTACAGCCCCCTTCTCAGTTAAACAGCAGCTCACCGGACGCCCCAACTCAGACTTCCCAAGAATCTGTTTCTGAATCGCAGCCTTCTCCTTGTCCCTCGTACACAGTGCACGTGTCTGCAACTCAGAAGAGTGAGCCAGCCACAGTTCAGTCAGTGTCTCACCCGTGTAACCAACACGAACACTTCGTTTCTCAGCCTCACCAACAAAATCAGCCGCTTCCAGCACGTTCAGGTTTCCCAAGGTCCCTGGTGAATCTGCAAAATCAAGAGAATGCCAAACTTGAACAGGTTTATCATATGGCAGCGACGTCATCTGTGGGTCTGACTCCGCCTTCCAGTAGAACTCAGGTTACTCCGCAAAACCAGCAAATGGATTCTGCTTCACCGATGTCTGTGAGTCCAGCCCATTCGACACCATCAGCCCCCACGCCAATTTATAATTCAGCTCCTGTCGCCTCTGTCGTTAACCACAGCGTGGAGCAAATGTGCAATCTTCTTCTGAAAGATCAGAAGCCAAAAAAACAAGGAAAATACATTTGTGAGTATTGCAATAGAGCTTGTGCAAAGCCTAGCGTGCTTTTGAAGCACATCCGCTCCCATACTGGAGAGCGACCCTATCCCTGTGTGACCTGTGGATTTTCATTTAAGACTAAAAGCAATCTGTACAAGCACAAAAAATCCCATGCACATACTATCAAACTGGGTCTTGTCTTGCAACCAGATGCTGGTGGTTTGTTCTTGTCACAGGAGTCCCCCAAAGCACTTAGCATCCAATCGGACGTAGAAGACAGTGGGGAGAGCGATGAGGAGGGGGCTGCTGAGGAAAGACAGAACGACCCGGTCTCCATGGACCCGCAGCCTGTGCAGATAGTGAAAGTGATGTCCCATTCTGAAGCGTTCCCAAAATCAGGTTCCATTCCAAGCAATCCAGACCATGTGGTAGGTGACTTTCCGCTACAGGACAAATCTTCAGAATCACAGGCTGTGTCAGAGTTACCAAAAGTCGTGGTCCACCCTGTCGGTGTGTCCCCTTTAAGAGTCGACAGCCCAAAGCTCCCGGATTCCAAACCTGAACTGTCGAGTGCACAGACACCGAAGGACCTTCAGGGAACCAATGTCCTGTCCCACTCAGCCCGGACATCCCCCCTCGAGACTGATGAGAAGTCTCGTCAGAAAGGGGACGGGAGTCAGCCAGAAGGGAAACAGGAACCTCACGTGGGGACAGGACATGCCCAGCTGCAAAGGCAGCAGGCTACCGATTGCTCCCAAGAGCAGCAAGGGAAACTTCTGAGTCCTCGGAGTTTAGGAAGTACGGATTCTGGGTACTTTTCGCGTTCGGAAAGTGCCGACCAGACTGTGAGTCCGCCGACTCCCTTTGCCAAAACGTTGCCCACCACGGACCAAGACTTAAGTAAGAATAATGGGCCCTCTGCAGCTCGGATCAGTACACCAGCACCTTCTGCTCTGTCAACAAGTGAAAAAGCATTGCTCCTACCGGGTCAGATGCGCCCACCCTTGGCGACGAAAACACTTGAGGAGCGGATATCAAAGCTAATCTCAGACAACGAAGCCTTGGTTGACGATAAACAGCTGGATAGCGTAAAGCCACGGAGAACCTCTCTCTCGAGGCGAGGAAGTATCGACTCTCCCAAGTCATACATATTTAAAGATTCTTTCCAGTTCGATTTGAAACCAATGGGACGGAGAACAAGCTCCAGCTCGGATATACCAAAGTCCCCTTTCACCCCTACCGAGAAATCGAAGCAAGTCTTCCTTCTGTCTGTACCTTCCCTTGACTGCTTGCCCATTACGAGAAGTAACTCCATGCCTACCACAGGTTATTCAGCAGTACCTGCGAGCGTCATCCCGCCCCCTCACCCCCTGAGAGGAAGTCAGTCATTTGATGACAAAATTGGCGCTTTCTACGATGACGTCTTTGTGTCAGGCCCTAACACTGCCATGCCCCAGAGTGCACATCCGCGGACCCTTGTCAGACAGTCAGCAGTAGAAGACTCTTCAGCAAATGAAAACCACCTTCTCGGTGCTGGACAGTCCCTGGACGAGAGCTATCCAGGATGCGGTGCGGCCAGTGACACTGGGCCGGCCAGGGGCAAGTCCTTGGCCCCAGGCTCACATTTGGAGAAAAAGAAGTCCCATCAAGGGCGAGGGACAATGTTTGAGTGTGAAACCTGCAGAAACAGGTATAGAAAACTGGAGAATTTTGAAAACCATAAGAAATTTTACTGTTCAGAGTTACATGGACCAAAAACAAAGGTGGCCGTGAGGGAACCTGAACACAGCCCCGTGCCTGCTGGTAGTACACAGCCTCAGATTCTGCACTACCGAGTTGCGGGCCCTGCAGGGGTGTGGGAGCAGACACCTCAGATCAGAAAACGGAGGAAGATGAAGAGTGTTGGAGATGACGATGAACTTCAGCAAAATGAAAGGGGGGCGTCCCCGAAAAGCTCCGAAGGCCTCCAGTTCCAGAATTCTCTGGGCCCTGCTTCCACTTTGTCTAAGCATAACGTTGCAATAACAAGTGACCAGCACAGAAAGATACAGCTGCAGGCTTCCCAAATCCAGCTGGCGGCCAGAGGTCCCGACCAGACCATGGATCCCAAGCTGTCTACCATCATGGAGCAACACATAAGTTCAGCTGCCCAGGACAAGACGGAGCCGAAGAGGCACGGAACTGGAATCTCCGTCATTCAGCATACAAACTCGCTGAGCAGACCCAATTCATTCGACAAGCTTGAGTCTTTTGAAAGAGGTTCCCCAGTCTCCTTCCAGGAGCTGAACAGGACAGTGAAGCCCGGGTCTCTGAAAGTGATGGGAATTTCCCCAGAAGAAGGGCGCCCTCCCCAGAACACGTCTCACCCTCACCAGCCTGCGCTGTCATCAGATGCTCTGAGGGCAGAACTTCAGGACGGTCCCAGGAAGAGTCCAAGTGAACGACATGTGTTGGGACAGCCCTCCCGACTCGTTCGGCAGCACAACATCCAAGTCCCAGAAATTCTGGTCACCGAAGAGCCAGATCGGGACCTCGAAGCCCAAGGCTATGATCAGGAAAAGTCAGAGAAGTTCAGTTGGCCTCAGCGTAGTGAAACCTTGTCAAAGTTGCCAACCGAGAAGCTGCCACCCAAAAAGAAGAGGCTCCGTCTTGCCGAGATGGAGCACTCGTCCACAGAATCGAGTTTCGACTCCACTCTGTCCAGGAGCCTAAGTAGGGAGAGTAGTTTATCTCACACTTCGAGTTTCTCAGCTTCATTGGACGTTGAGGAGGTTTCTAAAACGGAGGCTTCCCCCAAAATGGATTTTCTAAACAGAGCAGAGTTTCTCATGATTCCAGCTGGCTCGAATACACTGAACGTTCCTGGAACTCACCGAGAAATGAGGCGCACCGCTTCAGAACACATTAGCTGCGTGCAAACGTCGATGGAGGTCTCCGATTTCAGAAGTAAATCGTTTGACTGTGGAAGCATAACTCCACCCCAGACAACACCACCTGTTGAATCGCAGCCCCTGACGTCCCCTTCGGGCATGGGGGTCACCGGGCACGTGCCTCTCTTAGAAAGAAGGAGGGGCCCGCTGATGCGGCAGATATCTTTAAACCTAGCCCCAGATAGTCGTGTGTCTCCCGGGAACCCACCATCTTTCCAAACAATCGCTCTTGCGAGCGTGAACACAGCACCGTTTCCGGGCCCTCAGCTCACGAATGCGTCTTTAGCCGAGTTTCCTGCAAACGCTCTGCGCTCCCAGACTCAAGTTAAGGATCAGCGAACAGAAACCTCCAGTTCCAGCTCTACTAACATCTTCCCCGTTCAACAGCTTTTCGGTATCAATGTGTTAAGTCCAGTCCACACCCCCCACAGCCACCCAAACACACAGACGTCTCTGCAAGTGTCTATGCAGAGTGTTCAGCCGGATGCAAATTCCAGTTTATGTGTAGCTTCTAAAAGTAAAGGTTGCTTTGCTCCCAAGTACCAACTTCGTTGTCAGGTTTTCACTTCAAGCCAGTCTTGCGCTTCCAATCCTGTGCTTTCTTTGCCAAAGCAAGTTCTCTCGGATCCAGTTGGGGCTGCTGACCATCGCGGGACTTCGTTAGCATTACCAACCAAATTGATAGATGCCATGTCCGGTTCATGTGTTCCACCACCACTGAAGCTAGGTGGGCAGGCGCAGAACGTGCCGACGTCGTTTGCATTGCCCGTCCATCTGCAGAGTAACGTTCCAGCGTACTGTTTTGCCACAGTCACTCCTCTGCCACAAATCCTGGTGACCCAAGACCTGTCCAACCAGCCAATTTGCCAGGCTAATTGTAGCATGGTGCCAATCAGCGAGGAACAAAATTCCGTGCCAAAATTGCAGACAGAACACCAGAATGCTTTGTCAAACCCAGAGGCAGAACCTGTCTGTGAAAATGTTTTTTCAGAGATGGGTCAGACTCTCCCTCCATCAGAACCTTTGCCCGTAACCCAGAAAACGTCTGTTGGTAGGCTTTCCCCCCAGCAAGAATCTTCAGCTTCAAGTAAAAGGATGCTTTCCCCAGCAAACAGTTTAGACATTGCCATGGAAAAACACCAAAAGCGTGCTAAAGATGAAAATGGGGCTATTTGTACAACAGAGATCAGACCCTTTGAACCAGGGAGTTCAAGACCTAGTGAAGTTAATAAACAGAAGAAACCTATTTTAGTGAGGCAGGTTTGTACTACGGAGCCTCTTGATGGTGTGCTGTCGGAACAGGATGTTTTTTCTCAACCTGAAATTAGTAGCGAGGCTGTTAGTTTGACAGATGTCCTACCAGCTGATGATTTGTCATCCGAACACTCTAAGTCTGTAGTTACAGAACCTATAGTCGAACTACAGGAGTTTGAAAACATCAAGTCCTCCACGTCGCTCACTCTTACAGTGAGAAATTCACCTGTCCCTGCAGAAGACATTCACCTTTCTCCTTTGGAACGTGTAGACGGTAACCAAGAAAGGAAGTCTCCAGGGGTTAGAACTCAACGTGACAAAGAGAGCATCCAAGACCAAAGTCAAGCCACACTTTTAGTGTCTGATGCGGGAGGTGCACAGCAGCTGCCTTTCCCCAGCCTGAAGACCTCAACCAACTTTACATGGTGTTACCTATTAAAGCAGAAGGCATTGCATTTGCCTCAGAATGACCAGAAAACTTCAGCCTATACTGATTGGACAGTTAGTGCCAGTAATCCAAACCCACTTGGTTTGCCTACAAAAGTTGCCCTTTCTCTCCTTAATTCAAAACAGAAGACTGGAAAATCACTATATTGTCAAGCAATAACTACCCATTCCAAATCAGATTTATTGGTCTATTCAAGCAAGTGGAAAAGCAACTTAAGCAAGGTACTTGACATATCATTTATCTTCACAAATAGTTTGTGCGATGTCTTGATGCCTTTAAATGTTTTAATTGGAAAGTGTATCTTAATTTTGAATGACAAAGTGTGCTGTGTAAGTATAAAGTCACCCAGACGAAAGGATGAGAAGTTTACCCCGCGAGTTAGACTGATAAGGGTTACATGGAATCCTTCGGTGATTCTGTCTTGAGATATTTTGGAAATAACTTGCCCTGAGCTGAATGTTGAAGTCCTTACGTAATGGTACATACAGATCATCACGGTTTAACTTTCATCTTTCTCTTGTATTAAGTGAAAAGAGATTATGTTTGTGTTTTGTCCCTGCTGGTGCGGGGGAATAGAGGTGTGAGTAATCAAAGACTGTTACATTTCATTTCGAAATATAAGCAGAGACATTCATACTTGTCTTTGTACACCTGACTAGCCTCCCCTGGCCATGCTAGTCCCAACTCCCACCCGGTGTTAGAATCATCTTAGTGCTAGAGAGAAGACTCACAGAATAGCTGACTTATACACTTGATATAATTAAGTTGGATTTGGTCAAGATGTATAGAATAGGGTCATAAAACTGTAATTTGGAATTATTTGTGTAATCAGTCTTACTAGAGTTGTTGGCTTTATAAAATGGGAAAAATCATTTAAGTGAGAATAAATAAATAGGTAAGGGGATCATGGTGGACTCCTGACATTAAGAATTATAGATTAAGTCCGTGACCTCTACAGGTTCATGAGCATACAGTATAGGTTCATAGACATGATATGTGTGTCTATATATATATATATACATATATATGTATATATATAACGTGTATATATAGAACGTGTCTGTATATATACATATATACATACATATATATATAGACACACATACATATACGTACATACACACATATATACATACATATACATATATATATATATATATATATATATATATATAGACACACAATCACACACACACACACACACACACACACACACACACACACTTACCAAGAAGGAAGTCTCTAAATTTGCCGGTAGGTTAAAGAGGTATGGATACAGGGACGAAATTCCCAAAGTGGTGATATTTTAGCTGAGTCTTAAAAAAAAAAATGTAGGGATTTTTGTTTCAGGTAAAAGGGTGAGAAATTTTAATAGTCTGCTGACATGACATGGACATGATAAAGAACTTAGTTCATTTTAAAGAATCCTGAGGAGTCTGCCATGGGTGGCTAGAAGGTGTAAGTTTGAAACACTGACATGCTTCCAAGTTGGAAATATAGATAAAAACCAAAAAAAATATGCACACTGGTGGAGAGCCATTGATACGTTTTCAACAAAGGAGGGTGCAGGCAACCATTCAGAATTTAATTTTTAAATGACCCGGCTTTACTCCAGACCTACTAAAATCAGAATCTTGGAAGATGAGACCTGATCATGAGAATTTAGACAGAGCTTCTGGAATATTCCCAAAGCGCCTCTGGAAAAGTGGTTCTCCTTCAGTATCAAGTGCCTTGGTAGAAATGCCTCTGGAAATGTGTACTTAGATTTGGAGCTAGGCGAGGACTCCTGGTGGAAGGTGTCAGGATTCCTTGGTGCATGGGGGTAGTTAATGAGCTTGCTCAGAGCGGGAGGAGGGACAGAAGATCTCAGAATGGGTTCGGGATTCACCACTACTTAAAGGGTTGAATGGATGAAGTCCATACGGGAAACTGAGAGAGGTTGTTCATCAAGGAAAGAAGAGGACCAGGAGAAAGCGGTATCACATAGATCAAGGAGGAAATTTCATGGAAAGATACTCAGACAGAGAGGTCAAATAAAGGTCACATAAAGATGGAGACTAACGTGGTTCCTGGACCGAGCGGTCCCAATATCGCTGGAGTGTTGGGGACATGAGCAGGTGGCTGTGGAGGCCTGGGTACTGGGTTGACTCACAACCCAGATGTTAATGTACTTATAATGGAGAATGGAAAAGAAAGGTGCTGAAATGGAAGGGTCTCTAAGAGAAGCAAGGTGTCAACAACATAAACTGCACAGGTGGCCAAGCACATAAAGACTAAGGAAGGGATAAGGATTTGGGCATTTGGCTCGTTGGTAATTGGTGAACAGAAGCCAGATTCGATGGTAGGAAAGTGAGGCACAGAGAAATGGGAATTTGGTGTTGAAAAGAAGGTAAAAAGCAGGATTAGCGTTAACGGTATAAAGTCAAGGAGTAGTGTGCGTGTGCATTCCAGATTGTGGGGACACCTGGTGTGTTTGCTAGGACAAGAGGAGACCGATGCCTTCCTGTCTGCTAGGGTCAGTGTCATTACCTCCTCGCACTGCCTTCCTGAGCTCCCCAGGGTGCACCTTCTGAGGCTGCGCGGGCCCTCTGACCATGGCGCACACTCTCTCATTTGCTAGAATCAGGTCATCTCAGTGCAGAGCCATCTGCTTGGGGATGTGGTTTTTAAGGTTTTGTGACAAAGAGGCCCCTTGATCAGAAAAGTTGTGCCTCACTTTGGATTTGGCCACAGGACTGGAGTTTGAGCCTTTGCTGTTAAGCTTGACCTTGGACAAGTGACTTCACCCTGAGAGTGTCCTTCCACACTGGGTCCTGTGCTGCTGGCACCGCAGGATATGTGAGAATGGTAGGGACTGAGGAGGGGGACGCTTGTGAAATCCTCAGGTGGTGTCACGGTAGTGTTTCCAGAGGAGAAGCACCCAACACTCGCCATGTTGATGTGTGTTACTGTTTTCCAGACATTTAATTATTATCAGTCCACACCCTGACTTGTGACCTGCCTGTATGTCACAGTTATCGGTATTCAGGAACTTTTGAGAAGATACAGCAGGGAAACATAATTATGGTTTAAAATGATAGGAGAAGGGGAGAATGTTGGCAAACGGACTTTTGCTTGAACCGAAGTGCAGTTACAGTCCACCGACGTCGCAGGGAATTGGTCACGTTCTTAGGAGTATGAGACATTATTATACCAAACGGGGTAACTGGCACTTTCCCATCTTGGAAGAATAAAGCTCGTTTCAGAAATACAGTGTAGTGTGAATGATTGGTCAGGAGACTGTGGTGGGATCTTAAAACAACATAGAATTTATCAGTTCGCAGTGGTGCAGACAGATAGGTTAAAGATAGGGGAGGGGAGAGAGCAAATGACCTTTAAACATGTTATTTCCTTGAAATGCATTCCATTAAGTTAACTACGCGTACGGTACTCTGCCATGTTTTAATTTCCAAGTGAAACGTTAGCATGTTTGTGTTTTCAGTTTTATTAAATTAGTTTCTCTTTTTTTTTTTCCTTTCAGAGAGCATTAGGTAATCAAAAGTCCACAGTAGTTGAATTCAGCAATAAAGATGCCTCTGAAATTAACAGTGAGCAAGATAAAGAAAATTCCTTAATCAAAAGTGAACCAAGAAGAATTAAAATATTTGATGGAGGGCAAGTACAAATTTTACTTTCTAAATGTACATTTAAACTTACTTTTTAAATGTACATTTGCTTTCATGTGAATGAAGACTTAACCAGTGCCAATTTTATATAAATGTTACAAGGTTTCTCAGCTTATTAACAGAATCTTCATGGCAAAATATATGTTAGATGTCATGTTAAATAAATCCATTTTGATCAAGAAAATATTTAGGAAACATCATAGGTCCTAGGAGGCAGCTAAGAACTATTTTCAGAGTAAACTCTGGGTTTCACGTTGATTTACAATAAGGAGCTCCGTGGGAAATCTGCTCGAAGAGAGACAAATTCACTGCCTATTGGATGTCGCTGTGTTTTCAGTTATGAGAAAAACACGTTGTAAAAGCTGATTGTAGCTCTAGTGAAGCCAAGAGAAGTTTCAGTACTTTTAGAGTTGCTGTAATTGAATTTAATAATAAAGAAAACTTTGGAGCCAGTGGCTGAGAAAGAGGGAGTTCTGTCCTAAAATTAAACCTGGTATCGAGTAAGGTGGTTTGATCAGAATTGGCTATTTGCATATTAAATGTTGATGCGAAAAGCTGGAATATTGTTACTTACATGTGCATAAAATTTGTATTGATTGAGTGTAAAAATGGTGACTTCTTGTATTTTGTAAGCTGAATTCTAATCATCAATATTTTCTCGAAGACCTAGTATCCAATCTCCCTATTTTTTTTCTTTAAATTAGATATAAATCAAATGAAGAGTATGTATATGTCCGAGGCAGGGGAAGAGGAAAGTACATTTGTGAAGAATGTGGAATACGTTGTAAGAAACCTAGTATGTTAAAGAAACACATACGGACCCATACAGATGTCCGCCCCTACCACTGCACTTACTGTAACTTCTCCTTTAAGACGAAAGGTATGAAATGGCATTGTTCGGTGGTCCTTTTGATATGCATTGAGTTAGTAGAGCCAAGATCCACCTTGACACTCTGTGACCAAGGATGCAGTAACTTGAATAGACTGATAGAAATAACATCTTGTCAACACGGTAGCCTTGTCTCTTTATATGTCTCTAGACCTCTCAGGGAAAGGAAGAAAAAGTTTTTTTTTTTTTTTTAATTATATACTTTCACCATATAGATAATAAATATAACATTTTAAAAGGAGCAACTACCCTTTTTTATTTCCCTCCCCAGATTAGAGTTGCATAACATGATGACTAATACATTTCAAAAATACTTTGGAGCTGAAGAAGAAAAAAATTTTCATGATGATAAGGAAACTCCTTTCTGTGCTACAGGATTGAAGTGAAAGTTTAAATAATAACTATAGTAAACTTACAATGACTGCATTCGTGTCTTATTATCTAATTTTAGGCATGAAAGGCCATTTTTTTTCCATGATGCTTTTTGTTTTTTACCCAAATTCTATTGAATTTCAGCTTCAGAAAACTTCTGTTGTCCTATTTAATGTGCACAGAACTCAGAACTAGTCATTAAAATTATATTTAGTACTCTTTCTGTATGCTTTATATGTTTTTATTTAAATTGCAAGTCTTTATTATAGTTAAGGTAATTTTACCCTCTCCAGATTCCCTGCTACATATAACGAGAACACTACTTAAAAAATAATGCCCACTTTCTCCATTAGGCTCCTTGCTCACGAATCATTACATAAAAATTTGTTACTTGAGACTTCAGTTTCCTCCCTACCTTTTAAAAATAAGAACCTCTCTAAAAGAAAACAATGTCATCCTAAAATTCTCTGTCTGAAAGTGTGATATCTGTAAAAAATATTTAATTGACGATTTTTTTACAGAAACTTTATTTTTATTCCCTTTGAGTGAACACTCACTTTTGTCTGATTATATTGGCTGCCTTCAGGGTTTTTGTTTTAGAGATTGATCAACTCATCAGCAAAATTTACTACGTTATTTGGCTAGAATTTTTTGGCGTTTAAGGAGAGTTATGATACATAGCAACTAAACATTCACATTAGCTCTCCTTAGATGCCGGGAGTACCCGAAGCAAGAATAATAGAAATAACAACAACAGAATTGTTCTTCAGCTAGTCTTGAATATTTCTGAATAGCTTTGGGACATCATGAGTAGTTGAGAGGTTCACTGTCTGTAGTCCTCTGGTTGTGATGTGGATTCACCTTCTGGAAATGGAGGGTGGGTTTCAGGATGCTTTTCCTGGTCTTGTGTGCAGGCTTTGATAGGAGAAGGTACCATGATTTCTTAACCCAGTTTATTGCCCTTTCACTGGTTTTGATCCTGTGATTACGCAACATCTGCGAATTTCCAGTACACAGCCAGGAGACCAGAAATGGGCCAATATAACTCATAAAAGATTAGCAAGTACAGAATGATGTTGCTAAATAAAAGAGGATCAAGGTATAATGTGAAATGTGTATTTCTCAATAGAAAGAAGAGAAGGAACCAGGATACTTAAATGATATTCATAAAATGAGGGCAAGAAAGGGAGGGAAACTTAGGTGTGGAAAACCAAATGAACCTTCTTGGCCAAGAAAAATACTCTGAATCACCAAGTAAGTAATCTTAGTGAAATAACTCCAAACAGCGTCACGTAAAGGTTTAGATAAATGTTTCCCAAGAGGCGGACAGAGCATAATGACCCCTGAAGAGTGAGCATTAGATCTTTGCAGTTTTCACGTCTTCCAACTTCTCGGATATGCTGCCGATCTGAATTTACGTTAGATGTTTTGTCTTGTCAGAAAATCCATTGCAATTTTGCGATAAATGCGTATTTGAGGAAAGCGACCCTAGCTAAGGAGACCGGTGAAGAAAATATTAGAAATTCAGTATTTCCCTCTTCTCAGGGTGATAGTTCTTTATTTTATGGGTCAGCTTCCTCGTAGAAGTCTGCCTTTTGTGAATATCTGTAAAACAGATTCCATAGGATCTTTTAAATGCAGCTGAATACTAGTCGACTCGTTTTTAGGTTAGGCTGCAGATGTTGTCCTCCTGGATTTACTCTGTCGTCCTAGCCAGCGCAACTCTACTCCCCACTGGATGTGTCTGGATAGGAACAGAAAAACAGTGATGTAATGGCATGCCACATAAATATGGGTACCGAGAAAGAGCACGCTGCGGCCAGCTAAACAGTCTGCAGTGCTAGAAATTGATGCTTCTGATGCCTCGTGCCTATAAATCTCTACTTTGTCATTTGTCCCCTTAATTTATCTGATGAGTACACTTCCAAAAGAATTGTAATTGATTTGTTTTCACTGTTCTGCTTTAAAGGTCAGTCAGCAGAAAAGACACAGTGAGCTTGCACCCCTGCAGGATTTACTACCATTTATGTCACAGAAAGCTAGACTCTCTGTGTAGCTGTAGGAGCCCAGAAACAAAACCTCACATGCTTTCCAGAGGATTTAGACTAATGTTTCTTAAGTCTGTTGAAAAATGTACTTATTATGTTGATGCACAGAGTTTATGGCATTGCTAAGGGATATATGCATCTATTTTGCATGTTAAAATGCAAATTGTCGTGTTTATTTTAACTTATTTAAGAAGTAGGTTAGTAGTAAGTAATAGCTCGAATTATGAGAAGATATGCTTATTAAAAGCTTATAGTCCCAAATTTGTCTGGTTACAATTATCCATTAACGTCTCTAAGAAGCAAATAACCTTCCGTGACTGTTCATGTAGGGAACGAAAGCACTTTCGGTAAAGTAATTTGGTTTGTAATAGTGTTATTGTATTAGGAAGTGCTTTGGCTTGTAAATGGAAATTTAAGCCATATTGAGATGGCCAAAGCGTCTTTTTTTACAAGTTTTTAATATGAACATTTTGAAGCTTACGGGAAAGTAGAGATTTGTATCATGAACACCAGTCTACCAACCAGTCCACCTTTTACTAATTGTTAACATTTTGCCATATTTACCTCATGTGTCGTTTGTTTGTTTGTTTGTTTTAAGTGTATTTCAAGTAACTATCAGACATGGCCAAGCCATTTAAGCCGGATGTCATCTCCGGAATTACAGAAGTCAGGGTTTGCTGGGTCTTAGATATCATCTAGTCCAGGTAACCCTGTCACCCTTGAGCCCTTTAAGCACTAAGCTCTGAGGTGCTGCACGCTGTGAAGTGCAAGAAGTGGCTTGAACAGTGTGACCAGTTCCAAGTACTTAGGGAAGTTTTAGTGGTACTGAGGCTCTATAAATACAGCAGTTTCACAGGCCCTTCAGCTACTGCAAGCCCAAAGTTAAGACCAAGGATTCAGACATCTTTACCTCCAGGCTTATTCTCAAATACTAATTCGCCCCTGCTCACCAAGCTAAGTATCTGGATTTTGTTTTCTCAAAAGAGAGGACCTTCCCTTGTTGGCGATGTTTTGTGTGTGTGGCGTTCTGCACTCAGACTGCTTGGCATCCTTAGAATCTGAGCTCTTCCCATGCATTCGTGATCACTTGGGATGGACGTTCCCAGTGGGTCCCAGTTAACCTGATAATACTTAGCTACATTAACCGCCAAAGGAAACACGTCTTTAGAGGTACTGTTATGAGACGTCTAGTCAATATGGTGAAGTGAAATTAACACAGGAAATTCTCTCCTGTTCCAAATAACAGAAATGCTGTTTATGATATAACAAATGTAGTGTTTAATAGATAGTCAAGCTTGAAATTTAAAAAAGGCAAATTCCCAGGTAACAGAAATAAAAAAGAAACTCCATGCTAGTATAGTGAATAGACACTTAAAATAATAATAATAATAATAATAATAATAATAATAATAATAAAAAATAAAATTTAAAATACAAGAATTCATGGGCACAGCAAAGCCAGGTATATGCCCACAGCTCAAGGATTTTAATGTTAATACTGGAATAGAGTCCGAGGCCTCTGAAATAAGCCTGGCCCTCCTGTCCAGTGACTTTGGACCATGTGGGAAAAACATTTCTGCTGAAGAGCAAAATCCCATACCTATGCCATGCAAAAAGAAAGAAAGAACTGGTCTAGAATCAGAGGTCTGAAACCTTCAGCCCCGAGTAGAAGCAGTTGGAAAACTGACCCACAGAGATGTTTCTGCAACTCAGGGTATGTAAGGCTCCGTGGAAAACAGTCTTGCTAAAGATAAGCTTAGGATAAAAACTAAAAGGCATGCAGGGAAACAAAGTACCATGAGGGAGATCCGGCAGGCACAGTGGTGGAGAATTTGGACGCCAGGAACTACACATCTTAGTGCGATCCAAAAGGGACTTTAAATCGAGGATGTTTAAAATGTTTAAAAAAAAAAAAAATAAGGACGACAGAATAGAGACCAAAGGCAAAAGTAGACATTATCCAAGTAGAAGAGGCAGAATTGAAAAGAGAAGTTGTTAGTAGTAAATAACGAGGTTATTACAACATACAGATACCAGTATTTTCTTTTGTCCAAATTTGAGTCTTGGAACTGTATAACCACAGTCTGTGCTTTCATTTGAAGTAGGAATGGAATTTGCCAGTGTTGACAAATGCAGCAGCAAAATACTACTGCGTAAGCTTAGTAAACATTCTTTTCCCTTAAGGAAATCTGACAAAACACATGAAGTCCAAGACACATAGCAAGAAATGTGTGGATTTAGGCGTCTCAGTAGGTTTAATAGATGAACAAGATACAGAAGAATCAGGTAAGGCTTTATTCCATATTTTTCATAAATGCTATTTACGATGTACTATTCTTTTTTTTTTTTTTTTTGCGTCCATGTTCTTCTTTCCATTCCCACTGATACTGCTTAGTTCTTATTTTCGTTACTGTTTATTTACACTGTACAACAGACTCCTGCTCAGTTTCCCCATCATTAATTTGTCTTCCTTCCCGTCCATCCATTCCCACGGATGTTAAATTAATCTTCGTGAAGCCTGCATCTGGTCGTACTACTCTGTTGCAAGTCTTCCATTGGTTTCCATTTGCCGACTGAATAAATGATGAGCTCGCATCCCCCGAATCCTTTATGATCTGGTGTCCGCCTGCCTTATCACCCTTCTTTCTCCTTTCTGTCTTTCACCTACCCTAATGCTTAAATTTCCTGCTTACGTGACATTGATCTGGCTCTCTGCCTGTACAGCCCTCCCTCAAAACCCCGCCCTCAGTCCCCACGCAGAACGTGGCTCCCAGTGCGCATCGGACAACATCGTACTTTCCTTCAAGGTCTCCCTCAGATCCACCGCCGCCATGAAGCCGTCTCTGATTTTCCCTTCCCACACTGTGGGAAACCATTTTTCTCTTCTCTCAGCTCCTGTAGTATTTCCGAGTTTGCTCTCTGAAAGCATTGAATCTCTTTCTGCCTCATTTTTGGATTATTTACATGCCGACCTTTCCTCCTCACGGAGATTCTTAAGCAGGTCATGAGCAGAACTGACGACAGAGTGATCCTAGCTGCACCCGCAGCCCTTAATGCAGGGCCTTGCATGTAGCAGCCGCTCTGGGAATGTTTGTGCAGTAAAACACTTGGGTGCTTCCCCAAAATGTTTGTCATTTTGAAAACGCTGGCTGGGGGTTTTCATAACGGTGTTAACAAATCTAAGTGTTTATCTCTGACCAATTTTGAGGGAAAATAAACCCATTCTTCTGTTCTAATTAGAAAGTAGAATTCTTCTTTCGTGAGACTTTTTACATAGGTCAAGAATTTATCAAAGAGATAAGTTTTCTTTAAAAAAGAAACTTTCTGTTTTTGAAAAGTGCCCTAAATTAGACATTTACCTGCTTGCCATGTCTTAGTTAACATGCATTAGTTTGATACGTAGAATATTTCCAAAGAGTAAATGGTGAGCACACCATGGTAAATATAGGTAAAAAGTCAAACGCTTTTAATTCCACCTAACAACCGGTAGCACACTAAATGAATGAGCCTGAACTTATTTCTAAATATGCAGAGGAAGTGACTCACGTCTTAAGTGGTACAGCTGATATGATTCGGTATTTTAAGCACATGGAGAGGATTGCCTTTAACTCCTTTTGGGGAATAAACTGATGCATTCTTGATAGAAGAAAAAAGATAATCGTAACAAATTTAGGACAATAAGGAGTTTTTTAAGTGTTTTAGACACCCTTGTTGCTTTGATGCATGTTAGGGGTGGCCAGATCAGGATTTAAAAGTGCCTATCACATTAATGTACATGTCACTTTTCTTAGGAACTTATTTGTTAAAAGCCGATTGTTGAATTGCCAGAAATTGAATTCTACGTCCGTGTCTTGAAACAAAGACACTGACACAGTTGATAGAATTAATTATAATTCACTTCTAATATAGACAGTTGGTTTGTTTTCTGCTGTTAGTAATCATGCAGTGAGTGAACTACCATCATGAAGGGAATAAATTTTTTTATTTGCTTTATTATCGATTTGCTTTGCTATTATTTGCTGTATTGCTATTCTACCGAGGCATTCAGAAGTAGAAAACTGGGAAGAATGAATAAGAGTTTCAGCAAGTTTATTATTACCCACTGACTAGGAAAGGTATGAGGCAGAAATGGGAAATACTACTGTCTGAAAAACACGGACACACAGGAAGTATTATCACAATATATGCTCATTTACAGGTTTTACTTCTTGAGGAAGATCTCTCTGTCTTATAAAAAGTAAGTGAAAGAGCCTCTACAGTTAAAGGAAGGGAGTGTTTATATTCTGAATTTGCATAGGACAGTCAAGTGTGGTTTCCATGAATTATCATGTATTGTTTAGACTGGCTGACAGACCGACTTACACATCTATTCATTCATTTTTCTATTCCGCAGCTTGTTCCAAAAGCACATGAGGCAGGGTTCGGGTTATAACTCAAACTTGATATTCTAATTGCATATTCAGAGGAGACCCTCTGCTAAAGCTAGGTATTTTACTTGTTTTTCTCTTGGCTACGTTTTTTTAATTACTGTGATGATGGGTAGTATATTTTGTTTTTTCACCGTTTTTATTGAATAGTAGATTCAATATTGGCACATAGGTGGATTTTGCCAAGCGTCGTGCCATTCTGGAGACCTAACGGTTCCTAATGAATATGCCAACAAATCTCTTCTTCCTTCGCTTTATTATGGGCTTGGAATGTAGGTGTAAATGTAGTACAAATTTGTTGTTTGAAACCAGTGGTCTTGCTTTCCTTTCACTCTATTGTGCTTTCAAAAAACAATATTTTGATTTTTTCTAAATACAAAAAGATTACAAAGAGTTTTGTTACCTGTATTCATGTATTCACGCCAGAGTTGATTATTATCTTTTCTCTTATCTGCTTCAAGTCTTTTTCATAAATTCAGTGTGTTTTTGGAAAACAAAAACAGCGAAACAAGTCATTACACATCAGGTCACCTTTCCCGGTCACTCTCCCTCCCAGAGGCGGACGCCAACTGAGCTGAGGGGTTCTCTTTTCAGTTCGTGTGACATACATTTATTTCCACATCTGTGAATAGTATGTGGTTGGTTGGCTCGTGTTTTAAATTTGCATGAACGGTATCTATCACCTTGTATGTCGATGCCAAGAAAATGAATTTTGCTTGATAACTTTGAATGGGTTTCTGGAGCCATTTCTTTTTGTGCACAGCCTTAACCATACTTACGTTGCAGGAATTTACATTTCGGCCGATTAGATGAGTGATAGTCTGCCATCTTTGTTTGTGTTTTCTTCATTACTCTCCTAAGGTGGTTGTGTCTTATTATTCTTTGGAAAGAAGTTCCGCTCTATTAAATCAATGATAGTTAGCCAGGGGATCTTGCTTAACAGTTCCTCAGGTGTCTGTGCTTTTAAGGGAGAAAGCCCAGAAGCCTGCAGTGGGGTGCTGCCTGTCTGCAGGCTGTCCTGTTTTCTGATCGCACACAGCCCCAGAATGCACCAGCTGGCTCTTCTCTTTCCATTTCCTTGGCTGCCCCTCCTCACCTCCCCGGCCTCACCTCCCCACCCTGGGGCTGGGCTGGCTAATCTCTTTTCTTTTCTGTCTATACCCACTCACCGGGTTAATCTCATTCCGTTTTCTGACCGTAAATACCATCTATCTGCTGCCCATTCCAGCACTCACTCCAAACTGGCACATCCATCTGGCTGCCGGCCACCCCCACTCGCGAATCGGATGGGCATCTCAAGTCGGACGAGCCCCAGACTTCCGATTTCCCCCCTTACCTCCAAGAAGCACGCCTCCCCTCTCGTCTTCTCCCATCCTCCAGCTACTAAACCAAAAGTCTTGAAGTCATCCTTGAGACCCTCCGTCTCCAATTTACCCCTAGAACCTTTGGCTTTTTTTTTTCTTTTTTCAAAAGGTGTTCAGGATCCCATTACCTCTACCGCCCAACCCTGGTCACAGCTACCACCGCCTCTATGAAATCGCTTGGAGGAGACCCTGACTGGTCTCTGTGTCCAACTCCAGCCTCTCTACGGACTCTTTCAACACGGCTGCCAAAGTGTTTTGTTTTCATCACGTCACCATTTTGCTTAAAACCCGCTAAAGTTTTCCCGTCTCATTCAGAGCTCTGCTCTGCTGTGTGCTTCAGGGCTCTCCAGCCCACTCACCTTCCTCACACTGTCTCTCCCAAGCTCGTTTCCCGCGTCTTCTGCCCTGGCTCAGTCAGCTACACCCACACGCACCTCCCTGCTCTTCATTAGACAGCCCAGCAGGCCCCATCTCGGGGCCTGCACTCATATCCTCTCTCCGGAGTGCCCTCCGCCAGATCCCGCAGGACTTCGCTCATCACCCCCTTCAGCGCTCTCTTCCAGTGCCGCCCTGTCAAGGAAGGCTTCCTGACCCCCCTGGGCCAAAAGCACCCTCACTGTCTTCCTGCCAGCAATTCCTGCTCCTCTCTGTTCTGCTTTGTCTCTTATGGCACTTACCCCTACCCGGGTGTGTGTGTGTGTGTGTGTGTCAGTGTCATTATCTGTTCCTTTCAACTAGGAAGTAAATCATAAGGACACGGATTGTAATATGCCCACTGCCATATCTCCAGCTTCTTAGGATGGTGGCTGGCAAGTGACAGGTAGTAAATAGTTGCTGATTTAATGAAGGACTGGAGGGGAAAATGACCTATTAGCTCTCAGAAAATTGTTCCATATTATTATGTTTAGAATTTGACATGTTAGTTTCTATGAAATCCCTTCACTCAAATCCGGTGGTAGCCCTAATATAGTATTTAATGCCTTTACTATAAGCAGTGTTTACGTGACATGGCCTAGGCAGACACAGGTGACATTGAGACGATGACGGCATGTGTTAATTTGTTATTTATTGGTCATTGGATCAGAAGACTAGAAGTTAGTTCAAGTTCTCCGATGATTCCACCATTCCAGATGGGTGAAGATCTGTTCTGTTCTTCAGTAGTTCCAGAGAAGAAAAGTTAATTCTCTCACTGACACATCCATTTATGTACTTAGCACTTGAGCAGCTGTTACATGCACAGTCACTGCCCTCAGGAGAAACAGACTCAGCAGGGCTCGCTCCCCAAGGCTGGGGTTGGGGAAGGAGCAGAGATGCCTCGTTGGTTGTAGAAAGATGACCGAGGGTGTCCCGGAAGTAGGGGAAGGGGCTTATCTATTCATACGTTGCTTTATCGGCGACGTACCTGCAGCTGACGGGGGGCAGCATTCTGGACCGAGAGAGTCGTTTGGGCAAAAGCCCCGGGGTTAGGAGAGCGAAGTAGGGTGCTGATGAGCAT